CAGAAAAGGAATCTTGCACAAACTTGATGAAGATTCATAACAGTCAAAGTCTTTAACTATCTGCTGCAAGATATCTTAATTTGTGGAATAATACATAGCTGCATCCAGCCAAGTTCCCCAATACATCACAACAAGTTGGGGAGGGAGAAAAAGCAAAAGCAAAGCGTGCTGCTTATATACCGCCCTCTAGTGCTTCAAGCACTCTCGGGGCGGTTTACAATTTATTTATGCAGGCTACACATTGCAAAGAAACAAAGTAGGAGCAATTTCTTTGAACTTTTGTACTCAAAGTAGAGCATTAACGAACAATTTTCCCCATTTGAAATTATTTTATCTACATTGGGATAGTTGCTTTGAATCTCTTCTGTATAAACCATGTGCAAGGCATGTGATATGATCATTTTTAGATAAAAATATTTACATCCCTTGGCTACCTCAGTCATGTATAGAGTGGCATCTGTTATAAAGAGGAGGATGTTTCCCCTTTTTGCACCAGCCAGCCAGAATAGTTTCATAGAATCGTCGAAGAGCATGGCAATAGTGGAATTGTTTACTTTTTGTAGAGTTTCAAATGTTAGAGGAAATATTGTAACACTTCAGAGTGCCAATAATAACATTAGTTATATATCTTCTGTTTGCATCACTTGTTTCATCTATTGAAACCATGCACCTTTCAGCTGCTGCAGCCAATTAGGTGAGTCACAAAGCCTCATGACTACCAGTCTCCCTCACATCGTTTGCTGGCTCATCAGGAGGGTTGCCAATGACCAAAATATGACCAAACTGTAACATTAATTACAAAATTAAGCAGAAATATGACATAACACTTTAAAAAGATTCAAACAGGTAAAATAAAAAACATTTAATCCCCACCAGATTACTCATAAACATGTTTAAACTTATTTATTAGTTAAAATATAGATTGCAGAAAAAATATAACATGTCATAGAAATCCTCACCCTGCATTTCTTTTGGCTTACCAAATTTCCACTGGCTGAAATCCTGTTGCACAGTTAAGGACAAATTGCAAAAGGCCAGATTGCTATAACTTAAGAAATCTCTGTGGAAAATTCTTAATGTGTGGCAATTTCCTATTAAGTTAAGCTTTCTGAGTAAATGTAAATTACTGGGCAGTCCAAAAAGCATAATAAAGGTTGCATGAAAAACTAGTCTTTAATGCCTTGTTTATATTTAGTCAATTTCATAACAGTAAAAGTTGGGACAGTGTTGCACAATTGTATTATTCTAATACAATTTTGCAACACTGTCCCAACTTTTCTTTCCAGCTCTAATTTTTTTTACAACCACTTTATACAATATTTCTTACACAAATATTACCTTCATGTAGAAATGCATGAAAAAATATATATTTTACTTAAAATGTAATTGCAGCATAGAGGAATACAATCTTGTAATCTAGCTAAAGATGCAGCCTAACCCTACATTGCTCCCCCAACAATGTACAATAAATAATTAAAATAATCTTTACAAATAGATAAATTCTTAAAACCAAAGGTCAGGCCATATAATATAGTTTTGAAGCTCAACAAAGTGCAGCCAACCTGACTTCTATCGAGGAAGAAAATCACAACAGGGCAGCTCATGGGAAAAAAAAATCTGTTTTACATATTCATTAACCCAATACAGTATCTCAGGATGGTGGGGCATACAAGAGGGCCTACACTGAAAATTTTCAAAGTCCAGCCAGGTTTATACAAGACAAGACAGTTCTCCTTGTGAAGAATTTAGGTGTGCCTAATCTTGGCATGGGGATGATATGATCCTTCAGAATTTGTTGGATGGCCACATTATTATCACTCACTACTGGTTATGCTCTGAGCTCAAGTGAGCTGCTGTCCAACAAGAATTGGGAGGCCATATATCTGCTATCCAGAGTAAGGCAATCAAAACCAACAGGCTTCAATGCAATTATTAACAAAAACAGACTGCTAATTGTGATGAAGGCTGCAAATGTAATCATCCTCATTATCAACTAAACTTTACATAAATCACTAAGAATTTACATTAATCAAGCAACCTAGTCATATAAAATTTAAATCCTGCCTTCAGTGGGACTTAATCAGAACTAGCTAGCCAGAGAGGATGTGAGGTTGTCCTCCTGCAAGTTCCATAACATAGAACTTCCATAAATTTTACACTGTCACTACTGGAAATGCAATTTCAACAAAGGTAATTTTTCTGATTTATTTACCACACAACATATATCCTGACAGTTTATTTGCCCCTTTAGGCTTTTTCTGGATGAATAACTTCTTTACATTGTAATTTAATGCCATAGGCACTTTCTCAACTAAACACAGTTCAGTTATGTCAACAGTGAACAGTTCAGATGACGTCATACATCAGTTCAAATGATTTGTTCCAATATACATTGTGCATCTGTCAATAATGTTTTATCAAAACAGGCACTGATCAGTTCTTAAAGAGGCTTTTCAATTAGTCAAGCTAGCAATTGATCTGTTGACTCTCCCCTCTTCACTCAGCTTTTCCCAAAATTTGCTGCAGATATCAAGACAACAAGGTACTCTTGGAGATTAAGGACAACTATAACAGAATGGTTCCTGTCATACTATATCTGTGACTTTGTCATTTTATAGCTGACCATTCATCCAGTTCCTCCACTTAAAAACAAACAAACATCCATAGCTCTTCCACAGGTGGTACATGATCTCTAATGTGGTGAGACTTACAGGTTAACACAAATGGGGAAAAAACACAAAAAATCCTTACTTTCCTTCACTGTATTCTTTCATTAAAATACAGCCTCAGAAATCTGAATCATTAATTTTAACAAGTAAGAGGAACCCAATAATTTCAGATTTCATTTGGATTTCCTCATTATTTTATCTTCATTTGATCCAAATATGTAAAATCACCACACAGATATTCTAACAAAAAGTGTTGTGAGGTTCATGGGAGGTCTATCAGCTGCCAATCAGAATTCACACAATGCCCTTGGGTTCTTGGAAGAAGTCTGAATTTTTAAAAGGAGCTAGAAAACTAAAATACTGTATTTATCCATGTATACAACCGCCTCCCCCAATGTATAAGACAACCACTTAATTTTTACCCTTGCCGGAGGCAGAGGAGCAGTCAATGGGCAGCCGCGAGAGGCGGCCAAGCACAGCTGCTTCTTTGCCTCCATCTCTGCCTCCTCCTACTGCTGCTGAGCCCATGAGTGGCACTGGAGGAGACTGCAGCAGCAGGAGGTGGAGACTGAGGCAAAGAAGCTGCCGTGCTGGGCCACCTCTCGCGGCTGCCCATTGACTGCTGCCGCCGCCGGATCCCCTCGTCCTGCGATCGTCTCCAAGCAGGGGAGAAGGCAGCGACGTGAGCTGGAGGTAAGCTCTGGCAGGAGGAGGAGGCAATTAGACGGAGACGGCAGCAGTCAATGGGCAGCCACAAGAGGCGGCCAAGTGCGGCTGCTCCTTTGCCTCAGTTTCTGCCTCCTGCTGTTGCCTTCTGTGTATAAAACGACCCTCAATTTTTCCTTTAATTATTTTAGGAAAAAGTGTCATTTTATACACGGAAAAATACGGTAGCTGGGGGGGGTGTTTACTGTTGGGTAACTTCCTTGTTATTTCACTGCTTCTGTTCAGAGCTCCTCTTTTCCTGCCCTCCATTTTGGATCATATTGCTTATCACTGATTAGTTGCTGCTCTTCTTTCATTTTGGATTATTTTATTCCTTCCATTTTTGCTCTTTTTGATTCTTTGGTTTCCCCCTTTTTTATTTTGCTGATGGCGGGTTCCCCTTCCCCCCTTTTTTAAAATTTCTGCTGCTGTCCTGCCCTCAATAAGGTGGATTGCTGCCTGTGCTGCTAGACTGAGAAGGAATCACAGAGGTAGCATGGAGAGAAACCTCCCCAATCTCCATATTATAGGGATTTGGGTTGGAAGTTGGGGGTTTATGTTTCCTCCCCTTATTACTTAGCTTTCTTCTACCAGTTTTGGGGGAAGACAGCTCTATGGGTTTTTATTTTTATTTTCCCTATGTGCGGTGTATATGTGTGAATTTTTCATTGCTATTTGGTTACCTTATTGCATATATTTATCTTAGTTAAAGCTGAATCTCTACATTGATATTTGGTTAATTCAGTTTTTAGATTCTTAATTTTAATTTATTTGTTCCTTTTAAAGTTGAATACGGGAACTGTTGTTCTGCTGGCCACTCTGCTTTATAGGGGATTTCTTTCTATATCTATTTTAAGTATGGCTGATGGTACTTTCTAGTGTACTTAATTTATTCTGTTAAAGGTGTAGAGAATATACATAATATATTTTGGTGGCCTGTTGAGCGACTGCTCTGTGTTTGCTTCTGTGGGGATGGGGTGAAATGCTTCTTTGATTTTCTTTGATTGTGCTCAGGTCTAACAAGGGTCTCTCAGTCCTTGTTGTGTTGTGCTATGTGGCAGAAGAACTGAAGTTTTATTGTGCTCCTTTTAAATCGTTGGGTGCTTGGTTTGCTACTGATTTTTGAACTGGTTGTTAGGTGCTGAGGCTAGAATAGATGGATGTATTGCAAATCAGGTTAGTGTGATGTGTATGTTAGAGTTGGTATTCTGAGTGCAATATGTGTACAGGTCTTCTCTTTTTTAAATGTTGGTTAGCAAGGTAAGGGACATGGTGGCCACAGTGGTGCCTATGGTAGTGCTAGGAAGAGCACTCTATATGGGGGTGGATGGCACCTACAAGGGAAAGGGACTACAAAGTCAGAAATTGATGCTCTACTACCTGGCCCTGAATTTTCCCCATCCCTAATCTCCCATCTCCAATATGTTATAATCAATATTACAGTCATGATAGCGAGATTTTATTAAATTATTACAGGAGAAAAACTGCTCATAAAGACTCTTCCACATTTGTTTTGTTTTTAGGCTGAGGGGAGAATGGAGATAAGAGAATCAGTACTGCTCTTTCCAGACAAAGAGCATCTGTAGTCATAGTACAACACAGATAACTAATCACAGTCAGCAGTACCTTTCTTGTTTAAGAGCATATTCCAGCATTTTTATTCTCCGCACTAGATCCTTCTTCAAGTTCTCTTGTCCTTTCCTTTCTCCTTGAAGGAAGGCAATTTGGGCCTGAAAAATATTACAGAAAAACAATTAAAGAAATAAGTTTAATTCCTTTAGGTGAACTTTAATTTAAAATATTAATCAATTCCTATGAGCAAATCAGAACCAAGCTGGAAATGATTATTCAATATTTAAAGGAGTTCCCCATACACACACACAATGTAGCAATCATGTAACAGTATTCTCACCATGTTTCTTAAGTAATACTGGCTAAAATAATTCTAATTTTTATTATAATTTAGCTAAAAACTTCCTAACCTTTCCTTTAGATTTCAGATAAAAGATAGGCTTAAAAGTGTCAGTTCCTCTCACCATTCTTTCTTTGAAGTGTTCATTAACCGGAGGTGAACTGAAGGTGTGAACTGTCCTTTTGTTTTTGGCATCTACTGACCTGGGCCTGATCAGCCAGCTTCCCAGGTACTCACAAAAGAAGCACCAAAACTTCCAGTAACTGAATTCCATATTTCCTAATTCCTCAGTTTCTTCACAGGGGGATAAGAATTGTTAAATTGAATTAAAATTAAAACTGGCAGTTGATGCCGTCTTCACCTTTTATGTGGCAGAGTTGCATTAACCGGATTTTAGCTGCTATTACTCATTTAACAAGGACAGTGCACATACATTTTGCATTGGCAATCTCACATTTTCATCCAATTACCAACAGAGACACTTGTGTAGTTCTCTGAATCAAAAGGTCATAAAGGAGAAGAAGTTGCTAAAGCACAAGGCCAATAGTTTACTGTGTCACTATTCTTAAGGAACAGGAAGGTTACTGTTTTATTTTTGCTGTTCTTTAGGATGACAAATCCAGTGATTAATATTACTTATTGCCAAGGATGAGCTCCAGGAGAGTTTATATTTTCTCCCCAGAATTTTAAAAGAAATCTAATCACCAGGATCCTGTTAGTTATTGCAAATTAAGAAATTGGCACACACAGTTGCTACTGCAGACAGTTGCATGACTCAGTGTGCGATGGCATATGCCTATACTAAATTCTATTTTGTGGTAATTGCTGCTGAAATTTATACTAATGGAGTTATGCCACCATAAATATTTTACAAGATTCCAGCTGATCATTATATTAAAGAACAACTATTAATCCCAGCACAAATTGCAGGTTAAGATATTATTCCTCTACCATGCAGAAATTAACCACAACCACTATGTCACCAACATACAGTACTCTTACTGCTGGAAACAAATACATTAATTTAAAAAGAAATGGCTTAGGTGCAGCATGACAAGCTTAAAAAAAGCAATAAGCTCAATGCTTCAAACAATCACTTGAACAGTAAAATATCTCAGCTGATAAGAAATACTCCAGTATCTGATATAAGCTCTCTAACAAACTTACTTAAATTAGTAAATGAAAAAAAAGCAATATGTCACACTAACTTAAGTGCCAGAGGTCTAACTAAATACAACAGGTCTAAATCTAAATTTAACTGTATATTGTTTGACAGTTTTTCAATAAAAGAAATTCAGATTAAGTTCTGGAATATAGGAGGTCCGAATGAGCCTTATACTTCTTCCACAGCCACTCCTAAGGAAGCCTATGACATTCACATTTATACACACACCCTACAGTCACACAATCAACAGGTTCTGCAAAACTCTCTTGGCAATAACGTCAGACTCAGCTGTTACAATTTCTTGAATGCTGGAACAGGGAGTGGTTTATAAAGTAGAGATACTTCAAATGTTTTCTACTGACGAAGCACATTTTCTACGGTTGTCCCAACCCAACCTCACTCAGTAACTCCAAAAACAATAGGCACTTAGAACAGAGGCAACAAAGCAAGGTTACTGTGTAAAATCCACATTAAAATTTCAATTACTGAAGCATAAGTAAGGCATGTGTTTTAAGGCACAACATTTCTTATTTTCTGTATTGCCAAAGCAAATTACTTTGGTATGGAGGTGCTCTGGAATAAACTATGCTATATGGTCCAGTCTCTGTCTCCATCCAAAATGCTATTAACAATAAACAAAGGGCAGCACTGAGCTGCTACTGCTTTTCAGACTCAGCACAGTTTTTCCTGTTCTTTCTGCCATAAAATGTAATGGTTGCATTAACAGACAGTGCACATTCCCAGGTGTGATAACAAGAGCAAGAGTTATAGCTCAGTATAAGATTTAGATATCTAACAACATTGAACTTCCAAAGTTATTTTGATAAATATTTCTCAAATGACATGTTTCACAGAATCTGAAAACAACTGCCTCTAAATTTGTTCCAGGTAAGCTTCTTGCTGCGGAACTTGCCTAAAAGCAAACAGAGACATGATTGGCCAATGTTTTCCTTGGGCCATGAACCACTGAGGACATACAGAAGCAATTTTCTTGATTCTTCAAGATCTCAGTTGCTGGAATGAATGTTTTCTACTTTTAGATGGTGTATCAGAATTTTAAATCTGAGGAAAGAATCTGAGGTCAGATTTGGTAAGACACATGAAGCACTGATCTCTGATTGTATTTTTCTTCTTAGCAGTAAACAAATACTATTTTATTTCACTATTCATGCTATGGGTGTACTGAACCTTTAACTCTTTTTAAAATGAGCTTCCTATTCATCTCTAGAAAGCTTGTTGCACAATCTGAACATTTCAAACTACAGTACTCAGATTCTGAAGGTATTCACCCTCCCACTGTCCTTTACTGTGCTCAAACAATCTAAACTGAGTTAGTACAATAATTTAGCCAAATGAAGTGTTTACATATGTGTTCACACACAAATATGCGTTAAAGCTACTCTCCAGTCAGTTAACCACTTCTGTAATGAGGATGTAGTTAACAGGGAGCATTATGTGTCTGGAGCACTCTGAACATTTATTAGCAATATATATCAGGGATGTGGTGGTGCTGCAGGTTAAACCACAGAAGCCTCTGTGCTGCAAGGTCAGAAGAACAGCAGTCATAAGATCAAACCCATGCGATGGAGCGAGCTCCTGTCACTTGTCCCAGCTCCTGCCAACCTAGCAGTTCAAAA